AAATTCTCAATGATAACATTAGGTTTTACAAATTAAGTTAACAATAAGGTCTAAAATTCATTAAAAAAACTAAGCGGGCTACCCGCTACCCCGTCAGGCTAGCCCGATTAAACATCGGGCTTTTAACGGTTCGAGCTTAAAAGCCCAGATAATAAATGGGCCTTATTTTTATTATTCAAGCCCGGATTTTTTGGCGGACTTTCGGGTCGGCCCGGTTGGTCCAACCCATTTTGCCGACTCTAGGTGGAGCCGACTAAAGATGCTAGTAACAACTAGATTTCAAAGGGGATACGTGTGACAAACCACAACCAATAGGATAGAGTCAGTAACGGTTGAGGTAGGGTCATTGGTGACGACCAAGGACATGAAAAGACGTAGGATGCCCACGACAAACGGACCTAACAAACAAGACAACAGATAACAACTAGGATAAAACAAACAAAACAAAAGGTAACAACCAACGTTCCGGAGGCATGCTAAATGCACATGATATGTCATGATGAGAATGATTGATGATATGCAAGATCCGACTCTAATGAGAGATAAAGAATCTGGAGACTAAAAGGGAAAGATAGATAAGCATATTTATCTCGCTGGGGAAACAAAAAATCACACTGAGTTTAAAGATCAAAGGCGTTCAAAACTTCGCTGGGAAATAAACCCACTCCACTTGGGGAGATATAAAAACTTAGGCAAGCTTGCTGGGAATGGTTGTGTAACTTCAACAGAGACATTGGATGACTCCACTGGGAATGAGTTTTCACACTATCAAAAACCGTATCCTTTGGAAAATACTAGGGAGATCGTCTTCAATCTTGGTAACCACACGCGACCGAAGGAACAACCCAACAAATAAATTTAAACTGGCGTTTCAATGGGAAAATGTACTGAGATTGCACATCAAAGCTTCTGCCACCTTAAGATTTCATGGGGAATATATGATTTCCACTTAATCTTTCTATGAGCCAAAGTAACTTTATGTTTTATTAAGTTTTCAAAAACTGTTTTTAAATTCAAAACCTTTTGCTTTCAAAATTATTATTAACCAATAAACCATGTTTTGCATAACAAAGGAAAATATGGTAAACGGTAAATTGCAAGCAATTGAATGACCCAAAAATATGATTTTATTCAAAAATGGCAGCTTGCAAATGGCAAAGCTCCATGGAAAATGTACAATTGAAAATGGCAAAAGGGAAAAAGTTACATTGAATCCAATGACAATATATCCCTAATAACTAAAAGCTTTCCAAGACCTCGCTTCTGACAAGAGCGGTTGAAATGAACTTCTCGTGTAATCCTCTACAGAGGTGACAACCATCTGATGCAGTTAAATACCTTTGCCCCTAACTTTTGCCTGGATATCCCTTTCGGGTTTTCAATCCACCAGGACACTCATTATTGCTTAAGCTGCCCTTTTGGGTTTTCAACTTAACGAGCTCATTTTTTCATTTTACCCCTAACTTTTGTCTGGATCTCCTTCATAGGTTATGATCCAACGGGATACCCATTGTTGTCTAAGCCGCCCTTGCAGGTTTTTGACTTATCGGGTTTTTTAGGCATAATATTTTTGTACTACATCAGAGTTCACCAGGTGGGTAAGTTGTTCTCCATCCATTGTTGTGAGAACTAACGATCCTCGTGAGAAGACTATTTTTACAATGAATGGGCCATCATAGTTAGGCATCCATTTTCCCTGCGCATCCTTGTGAATTGGCAAAATTTTCTTGAGTACAAGCTCCCCTTCTTGGAAATTTCGGACGTGAACCTTCTTGTCAAAAGCTCTTTTAATCCTCTTTTGATATAACTGACAGTGACACATCGCAGTCAGGCGTTTCTCACCAATAAGTTTGGCTTCCATTATGACTCTTAAAGAATGTATCTCAACCTCAATGGGTAGGACTGCATCCATCCCATATACCAACGAAAAAGGGATACATTACTTATTCAAAACAAGACATTAAACTCTAATGAATTAAGGTTAGGGCTGACAATGAACCGAACCAACTCAAAAATAGTTCGGAATTCGATTCGACAATTAAATTGTTGAACTAGGTTCATGAACCAAATGAGTTGAGTATGAGTGAAAAATTAAGTTCGTTAACTAAATGAGCTGAACTTGAACTATACATAGTTCTACTTGTTAGGTTCATGAGTCAACCCGATAACATATGAGAAAAATTACACTGTCTTTAAGATTAAGTTTAATATTTACTCCAAATCTTAGACAAATTTAATCTTCAATTTAGTAGTTTTTGAATTAGACTCTCAAATGTATCTCTTGAAAGTTGTGTAGGTTTTGAATTAGTAGATTTCGAAGATAAAGTTAAATTTCAATATGATAACTTTTATTTTTTTAAATATTTTATTTTAAAAATATATATTTATTTAAAATGTCAAATATACTAAAATATATATATATTTAAAAAAATAGTTTTTAAGTCCGTGAATCATGTGAGCTGAACCTAATGAGATGAACCTAACGAGTTGAACCAAACTTTTCATGAACTTATAACGAGTCGAGTTTGAGCTTAAAAAAAAGTTCGTGTCGAACTCGAACTCGAACTCAAACTAATTCTTAACGAGTCGAGTCGATCTGAGGTGAGTTCGACTCGACTCATTTCCAGCCCTAATTAAGGTGTAAAAAGACATAACAACAAAAGTTTATTCATCTTAGAACTTGAATTGTCATTGGTGAAAACAACTATTTCAATTTTAACAATTTTGCAACTATTGTAGAGATCTGGTTCTTCACATGAAATATCTTTTCTCATCTTATGGATTATGACATTATAGCTTCCTTTGAACATGGTATAAACTTTGCACCATAGCTTATGTGTCGTTCAATTACTCTTTTCTCCTAAGAGATTAAACAATTCTGCAAATTTACAATAACATATTTCAATGCATTAGTATAAATTGTGCAGTAACAAATTTGAGAATGCTAAATCTCGACAAGTATATAATTCTGCATTTATTTTTAAATTTATTATTAATTACCTAATGGGGGATGTAATTCTATCAAAACTAAAAAGAGATCAAATCCAAACATTGACAGATACATGAACTTCATTGTAGAATAAATAAAAACATATTGGCAAAATCTACTAGTAAGCAAAATGTGGTTGTATGCATAACATCCTTGTTTCAATATTTCTATTTTTCCTTTGACCCTACTTTTCTTTTCATAAATGGTGTTAGATTTAATTTTGATATATGTATAAACAATTAGGTTTGCTTTATAGTAAAAATGGATGCACATATTTCGATCATTAATCGACGATAGAGGTCCGTGGTACTAATTATTTTTCAAATTGTGTTGTAACACATTAGAAACATGGCAAGATCGAAAACACACAACGAAGGAGGCCAAAACTAAGACAAAGTTTCATTTTGATGAAAATCTCTATAATCAATTTCACACCATATAAATACAATAATCAATTTCACACCTTATAAACTCTAATCATTACTAACTTAGACAACATAAATCAGATCTAAATTTAAGATCAAAATTAAAATATAAACAAAAAATAGATCTTGATAAAGAAACTGACATTTCTTTTGGTAACTGATTCATTGAAATCAACAATAAGGAACAAAAGAGTTTCAGTGGATTGCATCTGATTAAGCCTCCTAACACTAGTTTTCTCAAATGTGTTTTTAGGGTTTATGACGAGAGAGAATGAGTGAAGAGAAAATGAAAATGAAACATTTCAAGTTGTATTTTTTTTTTTAATTTTACAAACTTAAACTTGGAATACCACACATACATAGACTAACCGAATTTCACAAAATTTAACAGACAAGATAAAACAGAAATATATTTAAGAGACTTAAAATAAACTTTTATTCAATAAAAAACTAAACTGAAATCTGAAATTAATTTAAGTGACCAAATGATAATTAGCCCTATTTTTTTCGATTCTCAAAAAAAGAAACTTTCCTTTTAAATATTTAAATAAAAAACATTGTGATTTATGTATTTAAATTGAGATGATATAATATGAAGTGAGATTTCCCTATTTGATTTTCAAAAAGGCCCAAATAAGCCCAAGTAGTGGTAGATTTCGAGAAAGAGATTCATTCGGTGACCGAGTGTGGACTGCGGAGTGGTAGATGATTCTAGAAGCCAGGAGGATTCTCCAGACAATTCTGGGGCCAATCGATCACGTCTTTTGTTCCCTTCACAACTCCTTCAAACTAATAGATAAAAGTGGGAAAGTCACAAAATAAATAAATTAAAAACTAATAAAATAACCAAAATTCCATTCAAGCCCTCAACGAAGCCCCAACTCAAGCGTCTCTCTCCTTCTTATAAGTCCGTTAGCGCTTATTAAGTTGTTGCTGTTACCAAAGAAAATACTTCTCAGATTTTTCCTCAAACCCGGAAAAACCCTTGTCTCTCTCTTCGATCGCGTCATCAGGTATAAACCCTACTTCTTCGATTTTTCTTTATCTGCGTTCAAAATTTCTGCATCTCATGATAGATCTATACAATCTAGAGTTTTGCATTTCGTCGCGGTGAATCGTATATTTATTGTGTTGATTTAGTGTTATTTTCGCATTGTGTTATTAGTCTTTGTGTTTTGTTAAGTTTAAGCAAATTTTTTGATGAACGTGATTGAGTGATTTGATCTCTAGTACTGTAATTCGATGCTGGATGAAGATTGTTTATATAATGCTTTTCGTTATGTATATTGATAAAAGTATGTTGATTTAGCGTTGAGGTGTTTCTGCAAGTGAATGTTATGCTATTGTTTAGTTGTTACTACCATTCGATTTATTTCAATTACTGTTGTTTATGATAGCTGGTTGTCGTGTCTTTGGCATTGCCAGAAGATGGTTTTGCTAATTTCTTTGTTGTTGTTGTTGTTATTGCACTTTAAGTTGATATCTCTTTGTTATTTATTAATTTATTAATTTACGAGTGAAACGGAGTTTATGATTTTTTATTTTCCTTTTCTAGGTATTGATTTTGTATTAGAGATCAATCAAAGATGAGTGTGGTTGGATTTGATTTCGGCAATGAGAGCTGCATTGTTGCTGTTGCAAGGCAGAGAGGGATTGATGTTGTCCTTAATGATGAGTCCAAGCGTGAAACTCCTGCTATTGTGTGTTTTGGTGATAAACAGCGGTTCATTGGGACTGCTGGGGCTGCTTCTACTATGATGAACCCGAAAAATTCTATCTCGCAGATGAAGCGGTTGATTGGTAAGAAATTTGCTGATCCAGAAGTGCAGAGTGATTTGAAGTCATTGCCTTTTGCCGTCACGGAAGGACCTGATGGGTACCCGTTAATTCATGCGCGGTATCTTGGTGAAGCTAGAGCGTTTACAGCCACCCAAGTCTTTGCGATGATGCTGTCCAATCTTAAAGAGATTGCCCAGAAAAATCTGAATGCGGCTGTTGTTGATTGCTGCATTGGAATTCCAATTTATTTTACTGATCTTCAGAGGAGAGCTGTGTTGGATGCAGCCACTATTGCAGGTCTGCACCCGCTTCACTTAATTCATGAAACAACGGCAACTGCTTTGGCTTATGGAATTTACAAGACTGATCTTCCTGAAAATGATCAGCTGAATGTTGCTTTTGTTGATGTTGGGCATGCTAGCATGCAAGTTTGTATTGCTGGGTTTAAAAAGGGGCAGCTGAAAGTATTGTCCCATTCATACGATAGGTCCTTGGGTGGTAGGGATTTTGATGAGGCTTTGTTCCATCATTTTGCTGCAAAATTTAAGGAGGAGTACAAGATTGATGTTTACCAGAATGCCAGGGCTTCTCTGAGGTTGAGGACTGCATGTGAGAAGCTGAAGAAAGTTCTCAGCGCAAATCCTGAGGCACCTCTGAACATTGAATGCTTAATGGACGAGAAGGATGTGAGGGGTTATATCAAGCGTGACGACTTTGAGCAGCTATCTCTTCCAATATTGGAACGTGTGAAGGGGCCTTTGGAGAAGGCACTAGCAGAAGCTGGTCTTACAGTTGAGAATATCCACACGGTTGAGGTAGTTGGTTCTGGTTCTCGTGTACCAGCAATATACAAAATTTTAACAGAGTTTTTCAAAAAGGAACCTAGGCGGACAATGAATGCTAGTGAGTGTGTTGCCAGGGGCGCTGCATTGCAGTGTGCTATTCTCAGTCCAACTTTTAAAGTCCGAGAGTTCCAGGTATAGTTTTTACACTGTATTCTCAGTTTCAGAATGCCTTTTGATATGTTTCAAGTTTATTTGGTATAAAACTGACTATGTTCTTAGAAATTATGAATTTTGGCATATGGGGAATTGTTACATGTTATTGTTTTATATATAAATTTCTTGTCTTTCTGATTTTTGTGATTTAAGATTAAGTGTCAGTCATTTCAATATTTGCAGAGAATTGTCCATATGTATTATTTAGTACAACATATTACTTGATGTACTAACGTCATTATTATTTTCATTATGTGAAGGTCAATGAAAGCTTCCCCTTCTCAATTTCTCTCTCATGGAAAGGTTCTGGTTCAGATGCACAGGACAGTGCACCAGAAAATAAACAAAGTACCCTTGTTTTTCCCAAGGGAAATTCCATTCCAAGTGTCAAGGTACTGACATTCTTCAGGACAGAAACCTTTTCTGTTGATGTACAATGTCATGATCAGAGTGATGTACAAGCACCTACAAAGATCAGCACATATACTGTAAGACAGTTTTAATGTTCTTGTCTGTTTTACTATACTTTTTCAACTAGGCAGTTTTGTGACTCTTGCATTTGTGCAGATTGGCCCTTTCAAAACTGAAAATGGTGAAAAGGGAAAGATTAAAGTGAAAGTTCGTTTGAATCTTCATGGAATTGTTACTGTTGATTCGGCAACTGTAAGTCTTTGTAGGTTAGGGATAACTTTTTTTTCTTTCCATTATATGCACATAAGAGAGTTCATGGCGAGAACATTTTTAATTAAACTATTTTTTTATGAAGCTCTTTGAAGAGGAAGAAATTGAAGTTCCAGTTACCAAAGAATCAGCAGAAGAGAATGCCAAAATGGAGACTGATGAAGCTCCTGCTGATGCACCACCTCCTAGCTCCAATGATAGTGATGTTAATATGCAGGATGCTAAGGCAACTGCTGATACCAATGGAGCTGTGAATGGCGTGCCTGAGACAGGAGACAAGCCTGTGCAAATGGACACTGACGCCAAGGTAGATACGGACAAATATATAATTGCATATGATTTGTTTTTGATAATTACGATAATCTCACTTTATATAACTATTACATTATTGTTGGATTAATGCTTTGATAAGCTCTCAAGTACAGATTTAATTGTTTTTGATCCCTATTGTGGAATTACAGAGCTTGTTTGGTTTGATTTGATTTTTGCATTTATTAACAACTGATGTATTTTCATTATAATTATAAAATGCCCCCACATGTCTTCTTTATTTTCTGCTTTGCTTATAACAGGTTGAGGCTCCGAAGAAAAAAGTGAAGAAAACAAGCATTCCTGTAGCAGAGGTAGTCTATGGGGCAATGTCAACTGGGGATGTTCAGAAAGCTGTAGAGAAGGAGTTTGAAATGGCTTTGCAGGATCGAGTGATGGAGGATACAAAGGATAAGAAAAATGCAGTTGAGGCTTATGTTTATGACATGAGAAATAAGGTCAGGCTTAACTGATTTTAATTATTTATTCAACATGGAAATATTTGATTTTGCTTAACTGATTCTTGTTATTTATTTCAGCTTAATGACAAATACCATGAGTTTGTCCAAGCTTCAGAAAGCGATGAATTTCTTACGAAACTTCAGGAGGTGGAGGATTGGCTATATGAGGATGGTGAAGATGAAACCAAAGGTGTATACGTTGCCAAGCTAGAAGAACTCAAAAAGGTGAGGCATTTTAGCCATGAAAACTTAAAAGTACACTCTGCCTCTTGTAAATTTGCGTAGAAGATATATCAGTTTTAGTTTTTGCAATCTTAATGGATATCTTACATGATTGCAGCAAGGGGATCCAATTGAGGAGCGCTACAAAGAACACACAGACAGAGATGCAGTAATTGAGCAGCTTGTCTATTGTATCAATAGTTACAGAGAAGTTGCAATGTCTAATGATCCCAAATTTGATCACATTGATATCAACGAGAAACAGAAGGTAATTGGTATCAGATTCTATCACTACATATTCATTTCTGGTTGCAATTTAATCTGAAAGTATTTCCATTTAACTTTTTTAGGTCTTGAATGAATGCGGAGAAGCTGAGAACTGGCTTAGAGAGAAGAAGCAACAACAAAGTTTGCTTCCAAAATATGCTACCCCCGTCCTCTTGTCAGCTGATATAAGAAAAAAAGCTGAGGCTGTTGATAGGTAATTTGTTTTAGCTTAAAAGATCCAGAGCATGGTTCTGGAAAAATAACTTATTGTTTCAAAATAAAGTTCACTGTTAATTCCTAATTGCATTGCATATCTATAATAGGTCATGCAAGCCGATTATGACAAAACCAAGACCGGCGAAGCCAGCTTCTCCAGCTACTCCAGAAACACCAGCAACCCCACCTCCTCAGGACGGCGAGCAGCAGCAGCAACAATCAGAACAGCAACCACAGGAGGATGCTAATGTCAGTTCTAATGGGAATGCAGAGGACAATGGTAATCAAGTCCCACCAGCCTCTGGTGAACCAATGGAGACTGACAAACCAGAGAACACCGGCCCAGCCTAATTTTTATTGTTTCTTTTGCTATGAAATTCATTACATGTCTACTCCAATTGTGTCTTGTGTAAGCATATGGATTATGCCTGGGATATAGGTTTGGGTGAGTTGACAGATAGCTGCTGATGCTATATGCTAGTAGTTGGAGGATTGTCAAGCAAGTTTTATTATATTGTGGTATTTAGGATTCGAGTTTTTTTTTTTCCATCCAAATCTACGTTCTCTGGGTTTTTAGATTATTTGTGTACCATTTCTTACGGTGTTTGCTTTCATTTAATTAAATACCCCATTTTTGTCTTTTGCGTGGCAACAGAACATTCAATTTTGGTGAAGGTGCCATCGTGCGAATTGCAATAAATTTCGTATTGATAGAGTTTTGGTAGGTTAAGCCCAAGAAGTGTGAATCGGTTGTTCGGATCAAACCGTGGATTTTGTAGATGTGTACGGATCAAACAATGATTAGATAATAAATGTTTTAGTTGAAGATTATTGTTGATTTTTTGCATTGCAGGGGCTTTATATTCGTTTGTACGGGAGTGACGCGTGAGATAATATCCTTTACCACATGTTCTAGAAATGAGTTAAGAATATTTTGTAGAGCTGAGGAAAAGGACAAGCAGAAAATACTATTTCTATTTTCTGGAAAAGGCTAGTGTCGGTAATTAAAAATGTCATATTTTTCGTCACTTTTTCGTTCAGTTTCTTCCGTAACATAATCTCCCGTTGAATTAAAGGTAGGCTAAACGAGGCAGTAACCTTTGCGGTGATCTATTGAAAATAATATTTTCATCCATTTGGGTAGAGAGATGTGTGTGCAACCTATTCGGTTTATATTTCACAAGCTTCATCTTTTTCAATCAATATAGCCTCTTTCTTCTTTTCTTCAAGCAACTCCTACACAAAGATCATTTGTCTCTGCCACACATTCAAAAGCAAGGTTATTGTGGATCTTGTATCTTATACTTGTTTTAAGGTGTTTTTATCGAGTCAACTTCATTTTTTTTTTCATTTGTGATTAGAAATGAGAACATATTAGACTCATCTACAAAGACCTATTATCTAGCCTACTTAAATTTGATATATAGTTTGACTTAATAAAAAAATATTAGACTGATCTACAAAGACCTATTATCTGACCTATTTAAATTTGATATATAGTTTGACTTAATAAAAAGAAAGTTTAATATTATTTTTTTGTCTCGTATCTTAACTTTAAGGTTTATTTTGATCTCTTAACTTTAAAAAGATTCATTTTGGTCTCTTAATTTTTCAAAACGTTTTATACTAGTTCTTTTTGTCTAATTAGCGACTGATTTTTAAATTTTTTCGTCGCTAATAGAACAAAAAGGACTAATATGCAACCTTTTGAAGAGATAAAAGATTAATATGAATCTTTTTAAAATTAAGAGATCAAAATGAATATCGAGGTTAAGATACGAGATTAAAAAAGATATTTCCTTTAGAAAAAATTAGGTTTACATTTTTTTCTTAAAGTATTTAATTAAATAGATCAAAATTAAACTATTATAAAAAAGGTAATGCTAACTTGTGTTTTAGGAGTACAAGTTAAAGAACTAAATTAAAAAAAAGTATATGGAAAATTGTGCGTAGACTTTAATAAAAGTAAAAAAATTAATTTTTAAATTGTTTTTTTAGTACATAAGTGAATTTCTTAACTTATGCCCCTAAAGTACAAGTTATCATTACCCTTATAAAAAAATATAAAATCTTATAGGTCGATCTATATGCATATCTTTTAGGAATATATGCTAAATATTATATAAAAGATTATGTTGTCTATTTAAAAATATGTAAAATGAACTATTTGAAAACTTTAATATGAAACAAGTTTTTAATAACTTTTTAGGTCATATTAGAATTTTAAAAAGGTCAGACCAAATTAATAAAAAAAAGCCTATAATATCAAATTAATAATAAAAAAAAGCCTATAATAAACTATAAATCAGATGCAGACCTTATAAAATTATCGTAGGTCAAACTTAGATCATATAAGGATTGATCTTGTCTGGCCTCTTGTCATTGTTATTTGTGACTTAGTAGTGTTTGTTATAAAAAATTTAGATGGGCAAGGTGAGAGATAATTCTTCTTAGAGATTCTAACCTTCTTTTTGAGAGTTTTTTTGTTTTAGGTGGTAGGGCAAAAGTATAGTTTTTTTTTTATGATTTAACATATTGTAATGGTTGCAATAAAATTGGTTGATATCATATCTCTTGAGTTTTGATGATTCAAAGTATTTAAAAAAATAATTGGGTATTCTAACATTGGCTTAAGTATGCAGGATTATAAGACTAAGAACAACTGAAGAGATGCTTGAGAATTCTGAATCAAAAGTTCAAACTCAGGTTCTGAAGATCACTTCAGAAGACTCTGACTCTGATAGAAGATTTAGACTCTGTGCTTTCTTGATATGTCTAATCAAGTACAAAACTAGTCAAACTTTTTGGTGAAAGTCTTCAAACCTTTATGTGACCAAGATGGTGGATCGGTACTGACAACAAAGCTTGCAAAATTGCAGGTATTGGATATATGAAATTCAAGCTCCATGACGAGTCAATAAAGTTATTGTTCGATTCAGGTATGTACCTGAAATTAATAAAAGTTTGATTCTCTTGATAAATTCGATAAAAAAGATATGTTTTCAAAGGAGAGCAAAATATCCTGGGGGCAATGAAAAGGTCGAATATTAGACGTGGCATCCCTAAAACTTGTGTCAAAAACTGAGTTGTGGCACAAGCGACTTGGCCATGTCAGTGAAAGAGGCTTGGTCGAATTGTCAAAACAACATTTGCTGTCTGGTGACAAGGTCGAAAAACTGGAGTTTTGTGAACCTTGTGTATTTGGTAAATCATGTAGGGTGAAGTTTAACAAAGGTAAACAAAGAACACATGAATCCCATGATTACATTCATGTTAATCTTTGGAGGTCTGCAAGAAATCCTTCACACTTAGGTGCAAGATATTTTCTATCCATAGTTGATTATTCCAGAAAGTTATGGGTGTTCATCTAAAAGACTACAGATGAAACCTTTGAAAATTTCCAAAGTTGGAAGATTTTGGTCGAAAATTAAACTGGCGGGAAGGTCAAGAGGTTGAGGACCGACAATGGTCTTGAATTTTTGAATGAGGCTTTTGACAACTATTGTATTGTGTATGGTATTGTAAGCCACAAAACTATAATAGGTACTCCCCAACAAAATGGTTTGGCTCAAAGGTTTTCGAACCATTATGGAAAGGGTTAGATGCATGTTAGTTAATGTAGGATTAAAGAAGGTGTTTTAGGCAGAAGTTGTTGTGACTGTAGCATACCTGATAAATAGGTGTCATTCAACTGCCTTCGGGATGAAAACACTTGAAGAAGTTTGGTCAGGACATCCACCTAATCTCGACAGACCTAGAGTATTTTGCTTCTTAGCCTATGCTCATATTACGCAAGTCAAGGTCAAACCTAAAGCTCTCAGATTTATGTTCTTTGGATACCCTAAAGGAGTCAAAGCTTATAGGATGTGGTGCCTAGATCTAGGTCACAAGAGTTGTATCAAGAGTCGAGATGTAGTTTTCAATGAAAAAGGAATTACATTCAAGTAAAATGACGGCGTTGGTCGAAGTATTAAGATCTAAGGAAAAAAGCTGGAATAAAAAGAGATTTCTATTGAGGTGGAGCATAGTGATTGAATTGCATAACCCGGATGTAGTCAAAAAGCAAGCACAAGTTGTTGATGAAGATGAGGAGATTGATAATGACTACCTGTTGGCAAGAGTCAGGTCGAGAAAAGTCATCAAGCCACCTTCGATAATTGGTTATGCAGATCTCATAACATTCGCCTTAATCTCTACATGTGAGGTTCTTGATGAAGAACCTAACGACTATAAGGAAACAGTGATGAGTTAAAATAAGACTCAATGGCTGAAAGTCATGGATGATGAGATGAAATCTCTTCATGATAATAACACTCAGGAGCTAATCATGAAACCTTCTAGAGTCAGGTTAGTCAGATGTAAGTGGATTTTCCAGACATACCACTGAAGTGGAGTATATTACCCTCACTGAAGCTGTGAAAGAAGCATTATGACTTGAAGGTTTTGAAAATGAGCTGAAACTTCAAGGTCAATTTATCACTGTTAAATGTGACTGTCAAAGTGCAATACACATATCGAAAAATTCATCCTATCATGAGAGAGCCAAACACATCGATGTAAGGATGCATTTCGTCAGAGAGATAATCGAGCGTGGAGAAGTCCAAGTGCTAAAGGTTTCAACTGATGACAATGTTGTTGATATGATCACCAAGACATTGCCAAGTATCAAGTTTTTCCACTATATGCAGTTGATAAAGCTACATGATAAACGCTAGTTTGTTTGCTTGTTAGTGTAGAGTTTTTTCCAAGGTGGAAATTTATGGTATTTGGATCGAACTCTAGTCTCAATAGGGATAACTTCATGGTTCGACAGAGTTGTGCACGTTTGTAATCAAAGTATGTTCAAGCATGCAGGTGTCAACGGTGTGCATGTTGTAGTCGAAGCTTGTTCAAGCTTGTTGAATTGGGCCAGTTTGTTAGCCTAATTGTTTAAGTTAGTTTATTGCTTGCGTTAGCTTAGTAGTCTATAAATAGATTGTTTCTCTCACGTTGTTGAGAGAGAGAGAGTTTGGTTTTTGATATTCACTTGTAATCTTTGAATCCTAATAGAGAAAGTTAATAGTAAAACAAATATAACCAATCCTGATTCTTCTTCTTCCTTCTTTTATCTCTTTCGTGAAACCTAATAGGTATTCTTATGTTTGTTTAAGAAACTTAATCTTTCACATATTTTGACTTGTTCGTGAGGATATTGATTCACAACAAAATTCACATATTCTGACACAATAAAACTTAATTCCACGACAAATGCAAATTAAGTCATTCCATTATATTTATTTTGGAAAAAAATGTTACTTTAAATTATAAAAAGTAATTACAAAAAGCAGGCCAAACCTGACCAGAAAATAAAA